TTCCCTGAATAGTCGATTTCAGTAACCTAGAGTAAAAAACGCGTAAACAAATAAAACAGAATTCTGCACACTCAGTCAACTTCATATTTATGTATATTTTAAACCAGATAATGCTATATATGAACAACACCTCAGTACCAACATGAGTGTTCCTTTTTTAGCCTAGATCTACATGACCCATCTTCAGCGCAACGCATTGGCTTTGTAGCAGCCTCGCCGTTATTTAACTTACAGCAACGACTTTTCATTTTGTATGATAATATTAGTCAATATTTATTACATAAGAATTTCAAAAATTATGATCTTAATAATCGAATAAATTTCCCTCAGAGCAATAACCAGTCAACGCAATCAAAAGACACCGTGATAGTATTCTAACGGTTGATCTCGAGTTCTTTTCTGATTTCAGCAAGCAAATCACTGTCATACGAGAATCGAAGATTGCTGGACACCGGTAATTTGATTAACGACTATTACTCACTCCTAAACCCTTCGACAGCATCCTCCATAATTTGCTATCTAAACAAACACAAGATCAAAATATCGATGCACGTCTGTCTGCAGCACTGGAATTCAGCCTCTGGAGTTTGTCCAATCATAAGAGGATCAGGATCGTTGGAAACCCTTCGCAAGGGGCTGCTCCACGAACAGCGAGGGCCACGGAGTACGAACATGAATGGATGTGTCGCAAAGAAATGTGATGAAATGTATCATTCCATCCACAGGAAACTGTTCGATAAATCAATCACACAATTCCAGAGGAAGGTGAACGTCTTATTAAGCTGCACTGAAAGGCAGTGCTGTTGCATGAGATAAACATTCCATTCAATTGAACATGACGTAACCACAGCATTTTGCGGAATTTGTAAAGTGCAAGTTAATGAATAAGAAAATAAACAATTGTAAGTTAGCAAACAAAGTACTCAACACGAAGCTTTAGGAACCGTAGAACGATACACCTGCATCTAACGTGTCAATATCAATAAAATGAATACCACAGTAAACCATTTGCAAGTTATACGAAAATCAATAAGGGGTCGAATAGTTTACGGATACAACAGTAGAAGGAAAGAAAAGGAGGAAAAGAATTTTGGAGCAATATCGGAAATTGAGTCAACGGTAAATTACATTTATACGAAAAATTATAGCAGATGACTTTGTCATTAGCCCAATCAACAATAACGTGCCTACACGATGCCAATTTATGTATTAACAGAACAATTACGGCGGGGTCTCAGTAAAATTTTCGCCTGAATACTGCAGACAGCATGAAGTTTTCTACTGGCATGTTTTATCATTGCAGACCGATCCTTGCCAAATCTTTAGGCATTAATCCATTCCAAAGAAAAGGACAAAAGCGCACATCAAATAAATTGTCAACCACTGCGGCCGACAGTTGCCACTTGCAGAAATCTGCATCGAGTCAGTAAAATAATACGCCTAATTTTGAAGTTGCCGCAGGATCACATTCAGTACCGAGTTAGAGCGGTGAGAACTTTCTTAAAACATTGAAATCTCATATTTCCTGTAAGTGCTAAAGCAGCATGTCAAAAACATATCTGACAATATCTCTTTAGAAAGGCTCTTTGTATCAGCCAATGACAAAGTCAACCAGTGAGTGAATCAATAAGATAACTGAGAAGGTTGCTTAGCCTTTCAGGTAGCGAATGCAGAAGCGTTAGGCTGTGTCCTCAACATTCGCAGTCCTGTGGTTGCGCCCGTGCTTCGGCAGACGATAACGCGGCCTGACTCGTCTTGAGCAAAGACAGTCAGTCTACATGCTCCAAGTCACTGTTGGCCTCCCCCGACGTCTTTGATCAGTCGGTCGGTCAACCAGAACTTGCCTCGCCTTCCCTCCAGGAAACATTAGAAAGAGTTGCCCAAACCGTCGCAGTTATGACCTCTCAAGTTAGAGAATCAACGGCCATGCAAGGAGACTTTCTCGGATTTTGAACGTCCAGAAGGAAGCCCGTTTTAGCCAACCACGACGCACTTGGCTGCGAACTATTCCAGACCGAACTGGAGATCAGTTTCGGATCATTCCAGCAAAACAAAGTCGAATGCAAACTTCACCACATGGCGTACTCTACAATCATCATCATCAAACTGGCTGCGCAAGACTACCTTAATAATGTTAAGCACAAACTGCAGAGACGACAGAACGCGCCCTTGGCGAAACCAGCGCTAACGTTGAAAAATATCACTTATTGCCATATACTCTGATGCAACATATGCTATCAAATAAGTGGTCGCTGAATAGCTCGTAACAGCTAGTCACCAATCCCGTACTTCAGGAGGCACCTCTACAGTTTGTCTAGTTTGTTGAGCGCAATCCGGCCACAGGCTTTCTCCAGGACAGCAATACATATGGTAATCGGATGAGCGAACTTCCATGATTTCTCAACAACTTGGGGGCGTGGCGAAGTTCTGGCCCGAGATGCCTCAGTCAGAACTGGTCTAAGGCTCTTCCTGAAAATTGGAGTCAGCTGCTGCTTCTCAGAGGAGTCGTAGGTCGGTGGGTAGATGTAATACGGCATGAATTCTTGGAGGATTCATTCGTCGTTCGACTGACTCGGGCGTACACACAACTTATGATGTTTATACGGTAGCATACAAGGAGTATCAGGTTCTGAAGCATCGTTCGTGATGCGCGTCAGGCAACTCTAGAGGAGAACGTGATGCGAGATGCAGCATGCAATGAAGACTCTCAAATATCATGGAACCGTGGCTTGCTTAAATGCCTTCAAGAGAATTATGAGTAACGATGCGATGTAACACGCCATGAAATCTGGTCTTGGAGGAGGTATTCGTTATTTGAGCACGATTACTATTATCGTCACACTGATAAAAGGATAGCGTTCTAGAGTTCTGAAAGCTTCGCGCTGAATAAAAGTTTATTTTTGGACACAACCTATATTCTCTAACTTTTAATTATTATGGATTTGGTTACGACGTTCTGAATTAAAGAAATAATCTTCAGAAGTTTACCGCACAGCTTTTAATAACGTTGATGCCGCAAGACAGCTTGTCCACAATGATCGAACAGCCGTCAGGCAGCAATGCATGTTTTCCTGCGAACTGAGCAAACTTTTCGTTCTGGTCCCAGTGCATGGCCGAAACTTGCCTTAACGGTGACCCGCAAGAATATTCAAGGTTACTCAAATGGAAGTTCAGTAGTCTCTGCTCTGCCTAGAAAACAGCCGACGAATCGGATTAACATACCTGAACCCCGCTGACGAGCAAATAACATTACCGCCGAAAGCATCACACCGCTCTGCTTCAGGAACAGTCGGTGCATGGTTGTCAAAGCAGCTAGAAAATGACCCAACATAAGCGACAGACGGAAACGAGATGAGATGAATCTCACTCACTTTCCAGCGCAATGTCATCGGTCGATTTATTGCGCCAGTACTCGACGGCGTCCAGCATAGCGTTGAAATGAAAATCTATGCGTTTGTCGATCAGGGTCGGCACAATTTCACCGTCCGTTTCGTCCAACAGGGGGCATTCGTCGTTCAGCGTCCGAAACGGGATTCCAGCCTAAACGGAGAACAAATGCCTAAAACTAACTGAACTAACCTCACCGACTACTACCTGAATGCACATGACGCAGAACGGATTGTTGATCACTCCGGTGATCAGCTGACCGCCTAAACCGAACGCCACTCCTAAACTGAAATCGTCGCATATTCGGCCGCCAATCACATCCTTCGCCTCAAGAACCGTCACCTAAAATGGCAAACGACTATAGGTTTTTCCTAACACGTAAAAGACAACAATGTGTTACCTCGGCGCCAAGGTTCTGTAGGTGCTGCGCAGCAGAAAGTCCGGAAACGCCAGCGCCGACTACCGCCACTCGGAGCTAAACAGATGTTCTAGCACGTATTTGACCATACCGTTTACGGCCGTTTGAGCAGCGCGGCCGCCGCTTACCGTCTCAAAGCGACGCATTCGACAGTGCGGAGGGATGTGCAGGATTCCGTAGTTGACCACACCTTTGTGCGTAAGGAATGTGAGGATGCGCTGCGCCTCACGCACCACCAAAACGCGAACCAAACCGCGGCAAATCAAAAAGCGTTCACAGCGTTTTGGAGTTAGCCACTCCTCTAATGAAAAGCCAGTCAATACCAACATCACTTACGCAGAACACGCTGTCTTCCTCACATTAGGGTTGATGTTCCATAGAGCAATGATCGTATTTCTTATGCCGAGGTAAATCGACTGTTCCCTGAATAAATTAGATATTCAGCTAACAAACAGCAGATCAGTCACAAAGCAGGTTGACACTAGCTTAACAACATTTCAGCAAGAGGATATCCAGAAGCATATGGGCAAACTGTATTAACATTTCACTGCATTAAACCCAGTCAGGCCTTTGACAGTGGTGGTGGGCAGCATGACACAATGTGAAAACTTTTTGATGCATCAGTCAACCACTGGAGGTCAAAGGCAAGTTAATATAAGTGAGCATAATTAACCCTAGCATGACATAGGCAGAAAATATGATAGACAAGCTAAATCATGTTCGGGGTATAGAAATTAATCACAATCACTCCACTGATCTGTATGATGAATTTTTATATTAATCAGTATCAATTATGCGCAATACACAAGTTACCACGGGTATGTTAAACTTTTTCTGTCAACGGGTTTCTCAACGTTACGTTCGTCAGTAACTGTCACGGTCAAAGGACTGAACTTTCATAGGATTCAAGGTTTAAGGATCTACTGTCTATAAATAGCGATAAGGTCGACAAATTTCAAGCAAAAATCAAAAAAGACAATAGCAACATACTGCAAGAGACACATTTCAGCAAACTGACAATTACAGATCAAGGATAACGCTATTTCGTGGTAAGTGACAAAAAATTACATCAAAGATAAGAAACTGTCTTACGAGCTACGACTGGCTAAAAACGAAACCATCATGTCATAAATCTTAGATTTCCGAGACAGAGAACTGTATCGGCAACTTCGAAGAATTCGTGCACACAAAATTCCCGCGTAGTTCAGTGCGTGCAGAAACCGCAATATACGTGAGTTTGATGCTGGAAATTTGTGACATGCAGTGAGAACTTTTCAACCGGAAGATGGGGGAGTGTTAACTGAAATTTCGGTCGGTCGAAATGAATGATTAAATATTGCTTATCACAGAAAGCAATGTTCGTTCATCGCACATCATACTTGCCCCTCCAAATTAAGCATTATCTTGAAGATGCATATGTTCAGAAAAGGTACATAATTCCGAAGAAATTGCATTTTTTCTGGCAGAGAGTCAAGCTAACGAGTGACCTGAAATTTTCTGAAAGGACTGAAAAAGTTGAGCGAGATTAGGATTCGCTATCATTACTGTTGCCGCCAGCGCCGTAATAAAAATGGATCTTCTAGTCAAGTGAATTTAACTCATTATTCACCCATACATCCGCTGGTATGACGGGAAATTTAGCAGATGCGAATGAGGCTGTTACGAACTACGTGCATTAGTCATAGCAATAGTAGGCAGTTGTCAATGCAACACGGAGCTTGTCAGATTTGTGCGGCCCGTACATTCTAGCTAATCGCCGTCTGTGAGATTCTGATTGATTTATAATTTCATTTAATTTTACAATTTCAACTTCTATTGCCTATGCAGGTTTCCGTCAACTGCTTTTGTGACATATCATGCTTTTCTAAATTTGTCAGTTTACTGGCAACGCCAAAAGACAAGAGAAGCAGAAGTCCATCATTAAGACACAGACTTGTGGAAATTCTGTCAATCTCTAAGGAGAAAGGGAGATGCAAAAAACAGTGATAAAATGTCTGAAAACTCATGCAGGAGAAGCCTTTCATCTGTGCGAAAGAAACAGCTTTACAGGATATTTTTTGCATTCAGACATTTCTGGAAAAAAAACAAATCAAAAGATAATTATTTACAGATACATAAATTATCACATGAAATGGCCGACTCATGTAGGAGAAACGTTGTCAACTGTAAAACCTATCGATCAAATCGATTTACGAACTCCCGATCTACAAATCTTCGCTACAACTACTTATGTAAATTTCTTTTTCCGGTTGTTTTACAGTTTGATTTCCCTGATTAAAATGGTGCTCCAGAAAGTACAAGCACAAGCACTAAAAGAGCACATACTCGAGGTTATTCTGCAAACCGAGCAATTTTTATACTATGCAAGACAATTTTCAGTAGCTTCGTTTTATTAACGTTTCACTGTCGACAAAGTGAAAAGTGCTGAAACGAAATCTAGAACGAAGTGCTGCATGAAGCATGTGTACATAATTCAAAAGTTTTTCCATCTATAATGATACTGTCTCTCAAGTTCTAAATTTCATTTATATATATTTTCAAGGTACTGTTACTCGAACACACATGGTGCTTGATTAAGTGACTTCGTTGCAACAACTTGGTCACTTCTAATTTAAATTTTGCTTTACATGACATCGGAAAGAAGCGAAAGACAAGTTGAATAAGATTAACTTCTACTACCCGAGTCCAAAACTAAAAGCGATATTACCAATGGCTACTCATGCGGACTAGCCAACATTTTGCCAGAAGGATTTTCAACAGCTTCCGACCCAATTAACATAAATTGCGTACCTATTTCAACCGAGTCTTTTCTAGCAGTGAAGACATCTTATCAGATAACATAAGAAACTTGTGGTAACGTATTATGCAGCTTCGATTTGTACATAACGAGAAAAACAAGCAAGTCGATATGACATACGTAACTTTCATGCTAACAACATATATTCCACCTTTGTCTGCGTATTTCGTACGTTTCATGGCTATTTGCATGCACATTCGAATGGTTCTCACTGCACAGAAATCCGCTTCATAGTCGTTACGGGTGGACATGAAAACTCTTGGTAGAAAAGATGACACTAGATAATATTCAGAGTGGCTTTCTGGATATGACTGTAAGCATGAAAGAACGGAAACATACAGATAATCTGATACTGTTGACCGAAGAACAGGAAACGCTGAATTTGCTGTAATTCCACCTTATCCAGCTAAGCTATAGATTAACATATCATTCGAGTCGTAATTTTTTATCTGTGAATTCACTTCCTGCTGCCTTCATTCTGTATTTACAGCTTCACAACCGTTTTGCTATATCACAGGTACTGCTATGCCAAGACGTCATGTGACCGCCGAAATGTTAGTTTGTGTTGCTAAAAAATGTTTAATTTGATTCATGGAATCGTTCTCGAATGTTTATCAAGCCAAAGTTTAATGATTCAGTCTTCTAACATATATCAATGCATCCACATATATATACAAGTCGCAACGTCACAGTCTTTTGTTATCACAGGATCGATTATTAAGGATCATATACCCAGAATGCTTCGCGTGGCCTCACCAGTAAACACATGAAAGCTACCATTTATTAAACACTGCCACATATCATCTCCAATGGCGAGAGTATTTGGCTCAAGCATATCGAAATACCATGCCGTCAAGAAGGAAGGAAACCACAATGTTCCATCACGCGCTTAATAACGATAGATATGGATAGCGACTCCAAATCCTTCCAGCTGTGTTTCTGTCGACAGTATCTTTCACATAATGAGGCTCGTACAAAAAGCCCAATGACGTATGAACAAACTAAGCCACTGTCAGTCCCAAGCCTGAATGAGAAATGAGGAGGGCTGAGTACAGCTGGTCGCCTGCCACTCATGGTACTGACCCCATCGAACTACCAGATCAGTCGTTGTCCTGGTTGAGAAGAACTGCACAGGTTCGTGGAAAACTGAGGCAGACGCAAAAAGTCGGCGACAAAACTTGCTGTATGCCCTCCAGCAGCTCGGGTTGTGGTAGCACGGCGACGCTGCTCAAGACATACACGAAGACGACGACGATATCAGTACGTAGCGCAGCTGCAGATCGTTCTGAAGAGGCGGTACACAGCGCAATGCCCATATGGAACAACAGATAAGGTTTACGGCAATGACGCCGACAGTGGGAGTTTACAGTAAGAAACTGAAATACATCCTAACTCAGAGAGAAAAAGCAGGAGCTAATTTATGAGGCCGCAAGGTACTAACTCGACATAGTTGGACACAAACAAGGTTCTAGAGAGAGAGATTCTTCAGATTGAGAAGACACGGCTGCGATGGTTTGGACGTCTTGCTAATACCTTCCGAAAGGCAGGCGAAACAGCTACTACTTGCTCAACAAACCCTGGGGAAGGCGAGAATGATTTATGCAAGTGGCTCGACGGATTTTGCGCAAGACATCGGTTTTCTTTGGTTCAAACGCAGATGCTGGCGCAGGATCAGGATCGTTGGAGGCATGTCTCACGCCGCTGCCTCCGCCGCCCGGAAGGATATGCGGTCATTGAAACTGAATGACGTTCTGACAGTTCTCCTGGTTTGAGAGAAGGGATTGGGGAAACCTAAGATCAGTCTATGACATTTCTGCGCAGCCATTTTGGTCAACGGTGCTTCGGCGCAGACCCAGATGGCAGCCCATGCTGAGTGCTGCGGTCGTCTTTTAGAAGTTGCATAAGTGAACCATGGTCTTCATCTGCACCAGCAATTTAATTTAACCCTTTGTGCTATATACGTTATCCATCAATGGAATGCTTACCGCTAGTATAACGCAACGCCAGGCTTCTAAATTTCCATCATTCCGTTGTGGCAACTACATGAGATCATTACGTCAGCGCGCAATACTGCGGCCGCGAGTTTCAATCCATATCATTGACAGATGGCCAACTGCATCAAATTCTTGACTTTACTCTCAGGTTATTCATTAACGCAATGTTCTCTATGAATAAAACAGGCTCGTGAGTTTCGATCATTTCCGTTTTACTTTATAATTCCATAGTGACGGCTACGCGAGGGTACCTAGTCAGCACGCAGTCATTTAGTCGGGAGCTGGAGTTTATATAATAGGAAGGTTGCCATTTGCACAAATTATTTCATTTGATCCCACAAATTATTTCATTTGATCCTTGATATATATATCCAAGCCTTTCTTTAAGCACAATAGGAAACTTTCCCCAGGATTGCCAATTTCAAAGTTTGGATTTTCATTTGACGATTTCACGGTAATGATTGCGCGAGTTCCTATAAATCCGCGTGTGCTAACGTTGGCGATAGTTTCAATTCATGTAATTTTCAGAAGTCAGTCTATCTCGTATTCAAAAATGTATCGATATCAGATTGAAACAATGAAAACGTACAGTGTAAACAAAGAAAAATCCAGTTCTTGCGCTACACCAATACAGTGGTAGTGTAAACAAGGAAACCTTACACTAGGTAGTATCACGTTATTTCACCGCCCCTTTGCTTCTAGTAGCCTAGGGGAACTATTTAAGCAGACCACGGCTCCACG